GCAAAGAAACTTTGTTAAACCGATTTGTGAATTGCCTTACGTAGATTGTATGACAATCCCGATACCCTAGGTACAAAGGAGTGTTCGTATCGGCCGGTTTTCGATGTACCAAGTTCAACAGGGTTAGGCTGGGAGGGTGATGTCAAGCAGGTGTATCTGACAGGCATATCGCTCGGAGGCATCATGCAGGAGAGCTTTGAGGAACAAAGTCTGTTGGCATAGCGGTAGAAGAGGGCTAGATAGCCTACGGCTCGTCGGTGCGAAAGGGTCCCGAGACTACCAGCTAGAGACGGGACGACGATCCTCTGAATAGCAACAAGCGTGGATAATGTAGTGGGGGAGAAGCACCCGAAACATGTGAGCTGTGCTCCACATCTGTTGAAACTTTAGAAAACACGTTCATAGATAAGGGATTATGACGCGTTGAATTCACTTTTTAAAGGCAAATTATTATTATTCCGCTGCAAGTTTTGTAAAATTTCCAAATATACATAAATATTTGTGAAATCCTCTATCTATTGGATAACATATTTTATTGTTATTTCTTGTTTCAGGTGAGTAATTTCATCCTACATCTCACAAGATCAGGACAACTTTCCACAGACCAAATACTCAGTATATGTAAGTATGTGAGATATAAGTACTATTTACCAAAAAACATTTTCTCTTAACATGGGCAGAAATTTCTTATTCCAGTCGCTCACCAAACTTATAGAGTAAATATTTATTATGTTTCATATTTGCAGCTCTGCCAAGATGCTTGTTGTGCACCATTTTTACTACACTATACAATAAGCATTTTTTTATAAACCTGTATATTTTTTATACTTCAACTACCACGAAGGCCTAAGGCCTAAACACCCATGGGATACCGTGGGGCTATGGGGGGATACAGGTGAAAGGGGGAACGCCACACGTACTCTGACGAAGGAACACGTGTGCATGCAATATGCACACATTCTGGCCCCGCCTACGAGATCCGCCGGGTGGTACCTCTGCGTTCGGCAGTCACAGACCATCTACCACCTACGGACAATCACAGCATCCATAGCCAAGAGAAATTTATCTTGGGACGGGATTCGATCTCGCACAGCGCACGGCGACTGATCAGAAGACCGACGAGTCTATTACTGCGGCCACCGTTGCTGCCTATATTCTAAGGCTTAAACACCCATGGATACCTTGGGGCTATAGGGGAAAGGGGAAGGGCGTCATACAGACCCTAGCGACGGAACACGTCTGCAGGTGACATGCTCACATTCTGGCCCGGCTTTATAGGTCCGCCGGGTGGTACCTCCGCGTTCGATAGCCATGGACCGTATACCACCTACGGACAATCACAACATAGCAAAGAGAGAAATTTGCTTGGGACGGGATTCGAACCCGCGCAGCGCACCGCGATTGATAAGTAGACCCATGGCGTCCACCATTACGATGCCGCTGCTGCCAGAAATTGCTCTAGAAATGATTTTCACACTCTGTGTAACCATCATTTTGACTTAACCAAATGAATGGTCAACTCCGTACGTCCATCTTACTTGGTTAACTGTTTAAAACCGTCCATAACCGTTGAAAAATCGTCGCCAGAATAAGCCTTATATGAGCATATGGTTAGATTTATCGCCATCTATGAGAGACTGGCAAAGGAGGAGCATAGCTGTAACAAATACTCATAGATGACGTGATTGTATATCATGTCACCTCGTATTAAATTTTGGACACCAAAATACACTACATGGTTGGCTATCTTGTGTTAGAATACGTTGATCACTGGTTAGTGCCTAAAAACTCCAACATTCTGACTGAATGTTTCCAAAGTTCAGGGAATTAAGAGTGATCGTTTAAAAACTTTTTCTCAAGTAGAAGCTTTCCATCAAGTTGATATATATTCAAAATAGCTTCTTTGGAGCTGTCAAATATCATTCCTGCACGTCACTGGTATGATCGTTGCAGTAATCTACGATACAAGAGCACCGTACGTATAGTTCTGGTCAGCAATCTCGCAATCTCTGCATCTCGTTGAAAACAATATTTTCTTCTGGTCTGCATGTGTGTGTGTATGCAACCGAGCAGGGATTCGCACGCAAGTCATGCCCTGAAGCGTGGGCAGTCACTCGGCCGTGGCTCCAAACTGAATGGAGTGGCTCTAATTTCATAATAGGATATATGCGTGCTGCTATTGACCAAGCTTGCGTTTTCGTTATATACCCTACGGGCAGTTACAGCAGCGCATGCAACAAATTAAATAAGAGGATCACCATATATCTTACAATGTCGAAAAAGAAAGTTTCAGTGTTTTTGCTTCCAGTGTCACTGGCGAGGAAGTGTTGTAACCGCGCAAAATTTTGAAAACGAGATATTAGTAGTAGTAGTGACCCTTTTTACCAACTTCGTAGTACCAACACTGTACTACTCCACGAGCCATCTACTGGTAACTGATATAATCACCCAACACCAGTGGTGAGATGTACGTTTCGTTAATATTGCACCCACGTGCATGATATAGACAACACACAGAATTAAACATCCGAGGTGGAGGCTAGAATCCGCGTGCCACGGGTTGCTAGCTGGACGCGGTAATCACCGAGCTGCCGAAGTTCCCCGAAGTGGCACGGCCAATAATAGCGCACTTTTCCACCAAGGTATGTAATGTACTATTTCATTATGATCAACAGTCGCTCCCAAAAATGTGTCTGATCTTGAATTAACAAAAGATACAAAATCGGAAGGAGTTCTAGTAAACGCGGATAATACTGAGACTATGCGTTAATTGTCAGTAAAAGAAAGCAAATATTTTACGCAAACATTTTGGTACATTTTACAACTTAAAGTATTGGCTTTCAGGCAATCGTTTTAAATACCATTTATTGTCTGGAAAATGACAAAGATCTGCAGTAACACGATAACCATCTATTTCCATTGAACTTTAGGTATGAGGTATCTGCTAATACATTTCCGTCAAACTCCAAAATGGGATCTTTCTAAATGTTCATTAATTGTGAAGCCACGTTCATCCAAAATGGTCATGAGGCAGTATCAAACAAACCATTTCCCGACTTAGGCCTTAGAATATAGGCAGTAGCGGTGGCCGCAGTAGTAGACTCTTCGGTCTCAGGATCAGTCGCCGTGCGCTGTGCGGGTTCCAGTCCCGCCCAAGGAGAAATTTTTCTCTTGGCTATGGATGTTGTGATTGTCCGTAGGTGGTAGACGGTCTCTGACTGTTGAATGCGGAGGTACCACCCGGCGGATCTCGTAGGCGGAGCCAGAATGTGTGCATGTTGCATACACACGTGTTCCCTCGCCAGAGTCCGTGTGGCGTTCCCCCCCTTTCCCATGTATCCCCCTATAGCCCCACGGTACCCAATGGGTGCTTTGGCCTTAGGCCTTCGTGGTAGTTGGAATAGATAAAAAAAATAAGAGGAGTCATTCTTTGCTCTACTCGGTTATACGCATTTCTACCAAGTGCATTTACAGCTAAGGTCCTAAACTAGTAAGCGTATCCATATTTAGGGAATCCCTGAAGATGCGTTTGGCTTTCGAGCACCGACAAGCAGGGTTTTTTATAAGTTTTCAAATCAAAATCTACTATATTTTGTGGAAAATCCGAAAAAGTAAATAAATATGGCTGACGTAATCACCATTCAGATCTTCTCCATCCCCCATATCATCAAAGATATGTGAAGACCCCCGCATCCCTCTAGTGTTTATGTAATACTCGAATGGTCCCAGATCAATGAGGTTTTATGGTATACAAGAGCTAATAACCCAAAACATTGTTCATACCTTTCTATAGGGATGCACCGAATACCACTTTTTTTTTCGAAAAGCTAGTATCGGCTACTTGGTTAGAATCGAACGCTAACTGGCATGCTCGGTGCAGTCATCGGCTCTGAATTGCCTGAGCTGTTAGTGATATTAAGCTTATATTTGAGTCTTTGAATGGACCCTTTAAAATTCATTTACTTTTCAAAAAAATTATCGCTTCACCAAACAAGTGTAGCTTACACGTAGGTCACTGTATTAACTGTTCTTTTAGAAGATTTGTTTTTATAATACTTGAGGATTTTATAACAGCTAGGAATACTTATGTCACTGTGGAATTCAGTAGTTGCAATACTAAGGAAAAATTGAAACCATACTGACATTACATTTTTGGAACATTTGTTTTTAATTCACTTTTCAATCGCTCCTGCTACAAAGGAGGCTTATTTGGAAGGCATTCAAAAGGTATATTCGACATCTTAAACGTACGTGTTTACTGAAGATAGTCAACGGTAGGTCCCAGGGTATTCAAATTTGGAAAAATTAACTTTTTGAGTTTTGCGGCATTTTGATGTTCAATTTTCCTTGGGTGTTTCTTTTATTTTTTGAGTGTTCAAAGAAAACAGAAGAGCAAATAAAAAGTCCAAAAGCAATACTACAAAACTAGACTTAAAAAATCATACAAGTTAGTTACTTGATTCGCGAACACGAGATATGTTTTTTGGATGTTATAGGTAGGAGTACTTGTACATCAGGAAAAACCATGTCACTCATTTTCTGTCATCTGTTCGCTAGTCTTTGAACTAATTAATCACTTGGAAACGACGGCTCGGATTTTGATGAAATTTTCAAATAAGGACGAAAAAGCTTTATAGTTTTTAAAAATCTATCTAATGGCGGCTTAACTAGCGGCAAAAAAGTGAAAAAACAAAAATAGCTCATACTTTTCTGGTGGTTCGGGTAACCTGATCATTTTTGTAAAAAATTTAAGAGGTGAACAAGTGAATGGAGGAGGTATATCTCAATTTTTTGACAGTGGTATACTTATATGCCTCCAACCGTGGTAATTTTATGCACTTTTTAGACATATCCCACTCATCATAGATTTCTTCGTACGTTTATACTTATACATGTCTATAATTGTTATTTAATTTTTTGTAGTTTTCAAGGGTACGAGGGATGTCTTTTAAGTTTTGCATACGGAAATAAAACAATATCGTAGGTAGTTTTAAATGACTTTATTGTTTTTCTAAGTATTCTCCACGACGATTAATACACATCTGCATGCGTTCGAACCAATTTTCGAAGCACTTATTCCACTCGTTTGCTAGCAGATCCAAAACGGCATTTTTGAATGCGTCAACTGCTTTTTCTGGTGACTGGAACCTTTGACCACGCAGTCTGTTTTTAATTTTTGGGAAAGTAAAGATATCGTTAGGACTTAGATCGGGACTATATGGAGGATGGTCCAATAATTCCGCGTTTTCTTCCGCTAAATACTGCCTTGTTTTTTGGGCTGAGCTTGCATTGCCTTGGTGGAGGATGATTCTTCTTTCGCGATTGATTTTTCGAAGCTCGGTGATGACTTTTGGCAAACAAATGATGGTATACCAATCCGCAGTAGCAGTTCTTTGCTCATTAAGAGGAATTGTTGCAATATGACCCGCTTTTGACACAAATATCTCTTTTGAAACACTTCGAGGACGGATGACTTTTGTTGGCTTTTCTTCACTTTGGAACACACATACAGTCGACTGTTGTTTATTTTCTGGTTCATAACAGAAAATCCACGATTCGTCACCACCAACAATGCTGTACACATTTTTTGAGTTTCCGGAATTGAAACAATCAAGCGTTTTTTGACACCAATTAACCCTGGCTGCTTTCTTCCAGTCAGTCAACAGGTGGGATATCCAACGAGAAACTCATTGTCTTACTCCTAATTCTTCATGTAAATTTTTTTGAATTGAGGTCTTTAAGATCTTCAAGGACGCCTCAATCTCACGATATGTCACATGTCTATCTTCAATGATGAGTTTGCGCACAGCATTGACGTTTTCCTGGGTAACTGCCGTTCTTGGTGCACCCACCCTGGGATCTTCGCTAAGACTCACCCGTCCACGTTTGAATTCACCATACCTACGGGAAATTGTCGACTGATGTGGCGCTTCGTTGCCGAAACCAGAGAGTAACTCAGCAAGGCATGGTGACACTTAAAAATTCACTGTAGAGAGAACACTGCACGTGTTGTTGTGAAACTTTTAATTTAGGTTTACTAAAGAGAGAGGCTAAGAATCAGTACTGACGTTCGATCCGCGCGGCCTACTATGTTTCTATATGCAAAACTTAAAAGACATCCCTCGTAATTGACAAAATAGCTGCAAGCTAAAATTCACCCTCAATACAGGACGACTAGTATTACTACATTTTTATCATTTTATTTGATACAAACATTAATTCTACCTAACGAGGCGTAACGATGCTTGCAAGACTGCCGTTTCCTAAACATATACTGAATTAAAAATCCTCGTACACACAAAAAATGTACAAGGATTGCATCAGAACGTTGGCTGTTCTAATTTTTCACGTATAAAATTCGTATTAGAAAGTTGTCGCGAGCTCTATTGTGCGAGCCAGAGTGCCAATTCACTTACATCGTTTAAAATTCTCGATTTTTTGTGCCGCGTTTGCGGCATTTTATACGGTTTCGCTGCAGCTACGTAATTAACAACAGATTCCTGAGCTGACAGTCTTACTAAATAAGTAAATACGCAATAGTTTTAGTAAGCGATGCGTTTACAGAGAAAAAGAAATTGTTACCATTTGATTTGATGTGAATGAAACTGTTTTTTTCGGTTGATCGAACCGACCTGAATGAAAATTCTACAGATCAGGAAGTTAGCAGGTCTGTTGAAGGTCCATGTATCATTAATCAATGGATGTAATTTCGGTACGTTATTCATAAAACTTTAAGGATATTTATTTATTGTTATGGCCTATTCGGTGTTTGCCGTATAGTAGGGTTGGGCATAATAGTTCACCTGAAAGAGCGCTCAATATAGTTCAAAGAATATAAGTGAACTAGTTCGCTCTTTTAGTTCAGTAGTTCACTGACACGAGGAAGATCTATGATCGATGTAGCTACAGTGGAATATATATATATATTCCACCAAAATACATATATTCCATAATTTTTTATCCAAACAGTCCTGGACATCTGTTTGGATAAAAATATATGGAAAGATAGATCTATTTTGATGGAAAAATGATTTGATATTTATCGTAAAAAACGTATATTAAAAACCAGTGAAAGTGCATATCTCTTTATTAATTTTCAAAATAAACTCAAAAAAATCTGCAAAAATAATAATACAAACTGAAATAAAAAATACAAAAAGTATTTTACTAAAGTATCAAACACAAAGAACATATAAACAAAACAAAAAACAAACAAAAGATAAACAATTCCACTAACCAAAAACGCAAAGAACATCCATTACTGTCAGCAAGTAAATATGAAAACGTCAACAAAAAATTAATGAATAGTGCTTATTAGAAGATAAACGGATTTTATTTAATAGGCTTTTCTAACTAAGTTTATTTATTTACTCCTCACACCATATATTATGTGTTTCAAGCCAGGTTATTATTCTTACCTTCGTTCTCTAATATCGGGATACAATTATTAAAATCACTAAATTGCCGTTTGCTCTGGAATTCTTTACGATTTAATCACATGTAAAAAGTTTTGGCGCGTGGTCGATGACTGTTGCAAATCTGATTATGTTTTACAGCTTTTCGCGCCACTATTTGTGGAATGCGGGCTGATGCGTGCGCCACCTTTGGGCCAAAAAGATAAGAGATGAAAAACATATAACAGCAAACCTACTTTATCGACGGCAAAGTAGAAATCTCAATAAACAGGTGGCACATTGTGGCTATTGCGACGAAAACGTGGGCCAATGATAAAACCATAATTGAACCATACCGTAAAAATAATATTTGTTTTTATGCTGTGACTGAACGCCCTATTTCCGAAAATAAGAGCTCAAACCTAAATTAAAAGTTTTGTTCGTCATGTCTGAAAAATTAGTTTGAATGCTTGCTCAACATATTTAAGAAATAACTGGGTAATAATGTCAATAAATTAAAAGCTCTATGCATGTCATAAGACGGACGCATAGCATAGCATTCAAACATTTCATTTTAGTTGTTCGGAAGGCTAGATAGATACAAATATTAGATACCTATTTAAATAACATGTTTCACAGAAAGAAGCAAGTCTACTGCTCATTCAATTGCCAACAAAAACATTAACTTATGTTGAATGTTTATAAAGGAAAATTCGGAAATCGCTAGGCCTGACAATAAAGCATTTTCAAAAAATTTGCTCGGCCCGTCAGTTGTGTTCGTTCGGGTGCATCTTTGCACACCGTCGCTCCGTTTAAAGCAAACATCTGATCGAGAGCCCGCCACCCATTGTCCACTGATTCTGAGAGCGAGCCCAGCCCAGCTGTGACAGACTGCGGCTGCGAGGTGCGAGCAGTGAGCCGGTGAGAGGGGAGCGCACACTGAGCGAGTGAGCGGGTGAGCGGTTTTTCTGAAAGCTGCCGAACTAGTTCACCTAGTTCACGTATCAGAGCCGGTTCTTTGAACTAGTTCGTTCAGGAACTACCCAACTCTACCGTATAGGCAAACGGGGCTTGTGCCCAAAGCTGCGGCTCGATGGGGCTCGAAATGCCCAAAAACCAAAGGAAATTAATAAATAGGACCGGCAGAGCATCGCATCTAGGGACATTTTAGATTTAGACGGTGATTTCTTGTTAGAAAATGAAAAAAGTTTATATGAATTAAAGAAAACTACGTGAATAAATCTTTCCTAGAAGAACTGATGCGCAAATATCAAACCTCCATGACGAAATTAATTTTCTCCAAAGCACTTGTGATTTTGTTAGCAAAATTTAATAAACTAATGTTGTCCAGTGACATGTAATGAAACGGTTTATTTTTTTCGATAAAACGAAGTATACGAAAAAGATACAAGAGGCAAAGGAGTTGTATTTTTAGATGCTTAAACAAACAACAAATATTAAAGTTCCATAAAGGCGCTGTTGTTGTTAATTTTAATCTATTTAGAGCTAAATTAGCCTCCTAATGCAACAAATAAAATTGCCAAATGTCAACAGAATCGAGTAAACATTTTTTAAGACATCTTTAAAAAAATATCTCTTAAATTGGTCACCCTGTATCTTGAACCTTTTGCATTTTCGGACACATGTTTATAGAAACTTAGTTTCATATTTTTGAACAAGGAATCGCCCTCTAAAATATCTCCGCCTATTTTTCGAACACCCTGTATAACATCCAAAAAACATGATTGCATTACTTACTCTCCAGTTACGTAGGAAGTAAAGATTGTACATTTACATCATGATAAACTACATCAATCATTTTGTGTATGTTTGTATGTCTCTCTGTTCGCTAATGCTTGATCGTTCTGCGCCTTGGAAAGAATCTACTTCACGGAATTCGATGAAATTTTGACAGGCAGTTACTGCTATACCAAAGAGGAAAAATCTTTGTAATTTCAAGAAATCGATTTAGTGGTGGCGGAGCTAGGGTCAAAAAACGTGGGAAATAAAAATGGCTCAAACTTAGTTTTTGAACGTTTTTGCAGGTCCAGGTAAATTTTCAAGATAAAAATTAGGGGAAAATATTAGGGATGGGGTGGAGGAGGATCTGTCTCTTTTTTTTTAAGCAGATATATTAAACATACTTCAAAAATATCTATTTCCTCATATACTTTTCCTTCATAAGACAGAACGAACAAATAAAAAGTTCTGGTCTCGAAGGAGGCTGGGTCTCATCTGGGTGATTCCGACCGCCGACGCATCGACTCGAATGCTCTTGACATCGTCGCTCGCAGAAGTCAAATCTTGAAAATTTCGAATATGTTATAAAACAAACGATGCAAGACATATGACTTTTAGGATGCATGCAGATTATCACGGGGTATGACCTGGCGCTGGCAACTAATTGTATCGACCTATTTGACTGAGTTGATCCATTGATGTCCTTGAGCGTAGTTAACTTCTTTCTAAGCTTATGAAAAACATCACTGAACTGATAGTGTTGCAACTGAAGTGCAGAGTTAACCTACTTGACGCTATTTTTTTGTGACTTGTTACATCACTGATTCATTCTTCTCCAAGTTTCATATCATCAATGGATATTGAATATCTTCCTTTATTGGTTGCTGATCTGAATATTTCAACAGAATGGATTTTTTTCATTCTGGACTCCGTTTACCCGAAACTAGCCTTGCATTATTTGCTGAACGATTTCATATTTTGCACTCCGAAGTATACGAGATCTGTAAATTAAGTAATGAGACTGATTTTTTTATTTATACTAAGTGACATATAAATCCGAACACCCAGTTTAAATGGTTTTATTTTAATAAAATTTTGTATAAGTACTCAATGAAGCATAATAAGTAAATGATAAAAATTTCAAAATGATTGCACTGTTTTAAAGCCCTTTGACCTTTAATGTGTGGATGCACCCTGATGTGCTACGGATTCTCCAACGCGCCTAGGCATGCTTCTGATCAGGTGGTCAATGTCCTCCTGTGGTATCTCATTCCAGGCAACCACCAACTCCTCTCGAAGTGCTTCTAGAGTCTGAGGAGGACATTGCAAATTGAGCAATCTCCTACCCATCATATCCCACACGTGCTCAATTGGGGATAACTCGGGAGATCTTGGTGGCCGTGGTAACAATGTGACATCATTATGTTGAAAGAAGTCTATTGTGGCTCTTGCAACATGTGGTCGGACATTATCTTGTTGGAAAGTTGGATCTGCCAGGGTGTCAAGATAGGGTAAAAGATTGGGTTCTAGAACTTCGTGGATATAACGCTGCGCGCTCATGTTACCTCTGATGAAGATTAAAGGTGACCTGGAACCATAAGCTGTAGCACCCCAAACCATAACTCCAACAGTGAATGAACATGTCTTTCAACAAAAAACTGTGGATTTCTCGTTTCACCACGTCGCCTTCTAACCCTGGCACGACCATCGTGCATGCCTAAACGAAATCGAGACTCGTCACTAAAGACAATACTGTTCCATTCCTGATCCCAGAGTGACCGTTGTCTGCACCACTCAAGGCGATTACGTCGTTGTTCTCGAGTTAAAGGGAGGACCCAGTGTGGCCGGAATGAAAACAAGCCAAAACTTCTCATTCGTCGGTAAACACTTCGCATGCCAATAGGTCTTCCGTGTTTTGCAAACCATTCATTTGCAATGGACCTGGTAGTGGAGAAACGGTCCCTTAAGGCCAATAATCTTAGGCGGCGATCTTCACGGTCTGTTGTTCTACGGCGGAATCCAGTGCCCCTTGCTCTTTGCGTACGGCCTTCTCGAAGCCATGCCTGACGACACCTAACCACAGTGTCTACACTTCTTTGCACTCTAACTGCAATTGCCCGAAAAGACAGTCCAGCTTCCCGAAGTCCCACTATACGGCCCCTATCAAACTCACTAAGTTGACGAAATCGTACAGGTCTCCGTACTCTAGGCATCGTAACCGATCGTAAAGGATGGCAAGAACCAAAATCCGCCAAGGTTGATTCTTTACTGCGGCTGAAATATTCATTTTTAGAGCGTTAGTGAGTTAAAAAAAAGCAGTATAAAAACCGGAATGTCCAACTGAAAGGGCTGAAAATTTTTTCACTTGTTATTTACAGTAAGATAAATACATTCACCAACTTTTATTAAAATAAAACCATTTAAACTGGCTGTTCGGATTTATATGTCACTTAGTATATATATAATTTATAATATAATAACAATTTGGTATTGTACCCCTCAAAATAACTTTCTTCTGAAGCCACACAGCGCTGGAGACGGTTTTTCCACTCATCATAGCAGTGCTGGAGCTCCGATACTGGGATAGCCTTCAGCTGGTCGGTTACAGCCGTTTGAATATTTCCGACTGTCCCAAAATCAGTTCCCTTGAGGCGATTTTTCAACTTCGGGAAGAGAAAAAAGTCACAAGAACTCGGCGAATAAGGAGGCTGAGGAGGCACATGAATGTTTTCACTAGCCAAAAACTCGGTTACTGACATACTTATGACAAGTAGCATTATCGTGGTACAACACCCAGTTGTTCTTGATGTCTGGTCTCACATGAATGACCCTTTTTGCAAGTTCC